ACAGGCGCCCGCCACAACGCCCAGCTATTTTTTGCTTGCACCCATCATTGTTTGGGGGCCCGGGCTGGATTCGAACCCGCCACCTTAGGTGTATGTGGCTGGCGCCTTAGCCACTTGAACCACAGGCGCCGAGCCGGGCATGGTGTTTTTGGTGAAAAGGTAGTTCAAAAGAGATGACTCAATAAGTTTGATGTTTTTAAATAGTGGCATTTAGATACTTTATTACTGGTTGCCAGAACACTTGAATGTACCCCAAGGAAAAGTACCAGCTACATGCTTGTATTGCCTGAGTGTCAGGATTTTAGGATCATGCTAATGGTAATGCAACATTAAAAGAAACAGTTCCACAGATATTTAGAGTATTTGTTGGCAATGCTTTGAAATGTAAAAAGTAATAAAAGGATCTAATTAGGATGGAAAAGATTTATTGAATGACTGAAATGCAAAGGGAGGGACTAACCCACATGACTGTAATTTTAGGTGCCTGTGGCCTTTGATGATGTCTCCATCTACTTTTCTGCTCCAGAGTGGGAAAAATTAGAAGAATGGCAAAAAGAACTTTACAAGAATATCATGAAGGGCAACTACGAGTCTCTCATCTCCATGGGTGAGGCTGAGTTGGCACCTTTTGAATGAGATCACAGCAGCTCCCAGAGGGCTCACAACAGTCCCTTTTCCTCTTGTGTCCTTATTCTTTCTGTCCTTACTTCAGATTCTGGTTCTGAGGCAAAGATGAACATTTCACACTTGCTTAATAGGAATCATAATTTCTCCTTTTGTCAAAATGTAGGGCAGAGAGTAAAGTTCAAGGTTATGGATGTGCTAGCCGGATGTTGCCATAGGTGTCCTTTACTTAGAAAGGAGCTTGACTTCTCCCCCTTGAGGCACACTGACTCTTAATGACAAGAGCAGATAGGCAGTGCTAACTTGTCACGTGTGCTTTGTCCACACATTACATTTCCTCTTACCTGCTTCCCTGAATAGACATCCATAGTTGGAGGTGGATGCATGGAGAGAAGTGATATGGAATCTAAAATAAATGCCCTGGGACTGTGGACTTCAAAGCTTCAAGTTAGCCTTGATGGTAATTAATTGTCATCCTCATTTTTTTTTCCCACTCTCCCTTTTTTTTCTCCTAGATTATGCTATGAATCAACCTGATGTGTTATCACAGATTCAGCCAGAAGGAGGACAAAACACAGTAGACCAAGCAGGGCCAGAGGAAAGTGAGATTCCCGCAGATCCAAGTGAAGGTAAGTGGGAGAAGAGATTTTCCACACCTCATCTCCCTTTCCTGGTCAGAGAAGGTGGCTCAGAGAAGCAGGGCTTTGGAGCTTCTAGGGGCATTCATTGCTAAAGCATCTAGAGAGACTTTGAATGTATCATCACCTGTATAAATGTACGAGGGTGCTTAGAGATCACCTTGTCTAATGCCTTTGCTCATCAGTACCACACACCTAAGGGTTGTTAATTGTGCTCCCTGACAAAAGTACTGAGACCTAGCTACTTAGAAAAACAAACATGTTCTTAGGTGATAAAGGAAACAGTCACACTCATCTGGAATGAGGGCTTGAGGAAATATGCACATGAACTTCTGTGAGTGTTGAAGAGACTAGGCATCTGCATGGTACTTCCAAGGAGTATGGAACCGGTGGAACCTGAGGACACCCCCTGGGCATCATGGATTCTGTGAGGTCTGGGAAGCCAGCTGTCGTGGACTCTTCCTTACTTTTCTTTTCTGGTTTTTTTTTTTGAGACAGAGTCTCACTATGTCACCCTCTGTAGAGTGCTGTAGTGTCACAGCTCACAGCAACCTCAAACTGTTGGGTTAAGTGATTCTCTTGCCTCATCCTCCCTAGTAGTTGGGACTACAGGTGCCCGCCACAATGCCTGGCTATTTTTTTGGTTGTAGTTGTCATTGCTGTTTGCCAGGCCCAGGCTGGATACGAACCTGCTAGCTCCAGTGTATGTGGTTAGTGCCCTGGTCGCTGAGGCACAGGCACCAAGCTGACTCTTCCTAACTTTTTGATTGGCAGCTGCTTAATATTCTGGGGAAAGACTGGTAGCCAAAGTCCAGATGACTTCTCTCATGTCCCACCTTAGTTATGAGAAAATTCTCATACACTTTGTTTTTCTTTGTTGGCTAGAAGCTCCCAGAAAATTCATCCTCTAGACATGTCTCTTAGATGAATTTCTCTTACAACTCATTCCTGTCCCATACACTGTTATCTTTTTTCTAACATTTTATGAAAATTTTCAGTTACAAAACTTGAAATAGAAAATAGCAAACACCTAGATATCCAGCACTTAGATTCCACCACTGACATTTTACCATCCTTCCTTACCATGCACATATCCATCAATTTATTATATTTTCAATGTATTTCAAAATCAATAGAGATGTATACATTTCCCCTCTTATTGGTGCGTCATGAATATTATTAACCTAGAGTTCAATAGTTGGGTTTTAGGTGGAAAACTTTTATATATAATGAAATGCTTAAGTCTTTTTTTTTTTTTTTTTTTGAGACAGAGTCTCAAGGTGTCACCCTGGGTAGAGTGCTATGGAGTCACAGCTCACAGCAACCTCAAACTCTTGGGCTTAAGCAGTTCTCTTGCCTTAGCCTCCCAAGTAGCTGGGACTACGGGGGCCCACCACAACACCTGGCTATTTTTTGGTTGTAGTTGTTATCGTTGTTTTGCAGGCCTCGGCTGGATTCGAACCTGCCAGTTCCGGTGTATATGGCTAGCACCCTGGCTGCTTAGCTACAGGCACCAAGCCAAAATGCTTAAGTCTTAATTGTACATTATCTGAGTTTTGAGCAATGTATACATCTGTCGCACATATATATATATATATATATATTTTTTTTTTTTTTTTTTCAAGTTATGGGTGAGGCTTTGTGCTCATAGCTCAGTGGTTGCACCACATACACTGAGGCAGGTGGGTTTGAACCTGGCCCTGGCCTACTAAACAACAATGATAACTGCCACAAAAAAAAAAAAAAATAGCCATATGTTGTGTTGGGCGCCTGTGGTCCCAGGTATTTGGGAGGCTGAGGCAGGAGAATCGCTTAAACCCAAGAGTTTGAAGTTGCTGTGAGCTGTGACGCCACAACATTCTACCAAGGGTGACATAGTGAGACTCTATCTCAAAAAAAAAGTAAAAAAATGTATGGATCATTGCATTTAAGCAATATAACAGGTTGAATGTGATTAATCTGTATGTCATAGATAAAAGTAGTAAGATTAAAATAACACCCATAAAGATGAATGACTTGATTACAGAAAGATTCATTATGGGGAGTGTCTCTTTGGTCTGTATTATTAGTTATCTGCCATACTTCTCAGTGAGTATAGATGACTATATCATTTTCTATTTCAGGATGGGTAAAAAAATTACAAGTAACCAATTTGTTTTTACCTTTTTTTTTTTAATTGGGGATTCATTGAGGGTACGAGAAACCGGGTTACACTGATTACCTTCATTTTTTGTTTTTTGTTTTTTTGAGACAGAGTCTCACTATGTCACCCTCGGTAGAATGTCATGGTGTCACAGCTCAGAGCAACTTCAAACTCTTGACAGCTTAAGCAATTCTCTTGCCTTAGCCTACCAAGTAGCTGGGACTACAGGGCAACTGCCACAGTGCCCAGCTGCTTTTTTGTTGCAGTTGTCATTGTTTAGCAGGACCGGGCTGGGTCTGAACCTGCCAGCCTTATGTGGCCAGCGCTGTAACCAGCGCTGCTATGGGTGCTGGGCCTATTTATGACCATTCTCAAACCAGAAATTGTGGCATTTGTTCAGTCCCTCTTACCTAATCCGTATTCATGTTTTCTCTGTCTCTGGCTTTCTCTAAAGCCTGGTACTTGCATGAACAAATGATTTTACTTTCGTTTTGTGGCTCTTTAAATATCCAGTGTAGGGATTCCTCAGGCTTATGAGGAATATGCTTTGAGTGCCACTGTGGTGACCTTGCAGGTAGTTGCCCCATTATCATCAAATCAGTCAGTGTCTATATCAGCCCATCCTCGTACTCAGGTCCTGGTCCTTTAGCTCACTCCCACCCAGTATCTACAGTATACACTTGAACCACTCTCACCCAAGGGTAGTAGACACCAAAGTGTTTTATGCATCCTATGATAGCAGTGGTAAGAACCAGTTATGTAATAAGTATTTACTTTGTTGTATTGCTCTAGTTAATGATAATGGTTAGATAAACGTTTAGACTTTTTTTGAGACAGAGCCTTAAGCTGTCACCGTGTTTCTGTGGCGTCACAGCTCATAGAAACTTCACACTCCTGGGCTTAAGCGATTCTTTTTTTTTTTTTTTTAAGGAAAAAATTTACTATGAAATTTCAAGATTTATATCATGATAAACAATAAAATTTACAAAATGAGAACTCTATCTTTTCTATTTTGACTTATCCTGCCATCTCATCTCATCCTTTTCTACAGCTTTCTCCTGCCTTGATAAGTTTCATTGACAGATTCCCATCTCTCAGGTGGTATAGAAAGTTTTCTCCTGTAGGAGCTCAGATGGTTACTATTAATTGTCATTTAAGACTAGTAGGTGCAGTAGTGAGAAGGGAAATAGTAACAAGGCATTCTCCCATCCAAGTACTAACCAGGCCCGACCCTGCTTAGCTTCTGAGATCAGACGAGATCCGGCGCGTTCAGGGTGGTATGGCCGTAGACAGTAACAAGGCATTCTAATTGACTGAACAATAATTGAAATACTACTACCTTCAGAGCAGTCTATTTTTTAAAAATTTACCCAACACCAAGACAAAATAATTCATGAATTTTAAAGCACCCTTATTCATACTGACCTAGAAATTATATAAACGTATAACTGATATTCATCTTCCTTTAGCTACAACATTCCTAATGCAAACTGAAATTTCCAAATTAGACTGAAATTTAAAATATGTAAGAACAGACTATCCTGCTTTTGGTGTGAGACTCTGACTCAGCAATACCATAAAATGTAGCAAACACAAAATATGATCAAAAACACTGTTCTCTGTTAAAATATGTACTTATTTATGTTTTATCTTTATTTTTTATTCTTAATAAAATTTTCATTTATCTAATTTTTCCCATTATATTTTGTAAAAAAATTTTTAAAAACGTGACCTTGGCTCGGCGCCTATAGCTCAACCGGCTAAGGCGCCAGCCACGTATACCTAAGGTGGCGGGTTCGAATCCCCAGCCCGGACCCACCAAACAACAATGACG